CCCCAAAACCCCAAAACCCCAAAACCCCAAAACCCCGAAATGCAAAATATTCTATAGTGAAGTAAATCGTATAAATGTTAAATTCAATAATATTATTGTTGAAAACTCATTGTATTTAAATATTACTCTTTAGTTTTGAAAAGTATTATTTCATCCTCTCTGAATAAAGTATTTTAGCTGGATGAATTGTTTCGCATTCTATTAAACTTCTGCCCATTATCCTCAGAGAACTTATTGCTTTATGGTGAATCCATAAATATATTATCATCCTATAGCTAAGAAAAGTTATTGCTGCTATTTTAGACAACTTCAATATTTTCTTAATTTTGGTTGTCTAATTTTCTAATTGGTAATATTTAGAGTTTATCCTTGTATTTGTATTCAGGACTCATTATTTATAAATCATCTTCATTACTTAGGTAAAATACTTCACTATTAACGAATGCTGTATCATCTTTTTCAAATCTTCTTTTAAGATTAAAGAACCCATCTCCATTTGACTATTCAGAAAGCATGAATATGTCCTCATTATTTGTGTAGTTATAATTAGTTAGATCTAAGACTTATGAAATTTCAGGCCCTTAAGCATTTCCACCTTTGGGAGTATTAATATTTTAAAATGCTTTTTTATTATTTTTTGTTGCATTATACTTATTTTAAGTCTTGATTATTTATATTATCTGTTTGTTATTTGATTTCAAGGTTAAGTTAGTCAAGAAAAACTGCTAAATTATTGGGAAATGCTTTTTTTTCACTGTTTAGTATTTTGTCTTGGTTACTCTTGCACACGATTTAATTGATATAGTAAGCTTCTTGATCGATAGATATGTCATATAACTCATATTAATTAGTAAATTACCTAAAGTAACTGCTACTGTCAACCATCCAACTTTATATTACAACTCAGGATCATCTGGCATAAAATCAGTAAAGAGAAATAATGTATAAGTAATAATCAAAATGCACGCCTCATTAAATAGTTCTAAATAGTAAACATTCGTATCTTTAAATGGCTTAATAATGATGGTTGTGAATAAAACAATATAGTTCATTAATATTTATGATTATATTTGAAAGATTGGCGAATCATTAACTAATACTATTACAAAGGCAAAAATAAATCTTCTCACTAAAAATAGTACATTATAAGAAATATTGGTGTATCTTTATGTATTTAGTGTCTCATATAAGGAATCATATTGGCTGTCAAACTCTTTATTTCCCAAAAGATTTTAATTTTATCTAATTTTTACAAGGATAAATATTGGAAAAATAACTGCAGAAATCAAACAAGCGTAGGCAAGCAATGTTGAGATTAATGAACTAAAATTTCCATAATTTGATTTCTTAATGTTGATTAAGCTATTTATTGCAAATTCTATATAACTTTCAAAGTAATATCTTATCATGAAATTGTAAAATAAAAAACCCTTCAGCAAAAGCATAGATTTTCGTGAACTATTAAATATTAATTATAGATTCAACTTACAATTTCATCTTTGGAAGCTTTATTAACACCATAATAAAATAAAGACAGTAAACACCTGCGATAATACAACCAATTAAAAATATTGAACTTAAATTAGAAATCAAATATCTTGATTAGTATCTTGTTTTAGTTAAAATTTGCAAATTAAGTAGATTGTGTATTAAATCAAAAGATATCATACTCCTCAAAGTTATTGTTAAAAGCATAATCGTCATTGAAATTAAACAAATTCGATATTATCAAGTCAGATGGAAGAAGGTCAAAATTAGTTACCTGCAGTATTACAAGAAATAACATTTATGAGTTAGCTGGGAAGTTTATGGTGAGCAAAGGCATATGAAGTATAATCTGCTAAGTATTCACCATACCCCACAAATATTGTAATGAGGTCGACCTGAATATTTGATTTAATTTTAATAATTCTTACAAAAGCAGGTTTAAAATGAAATTACTATAAGTGATAGAGTAGGCACCTTTCTGCATTGCACCTTTATTTTCATCCAAAAGCTTTGACAAAGCTAATATTGAATTTTATATTTCAGAAATTTACCATCATCACCATATTAGCGAGGAATATATTTCTTAATCTTGTAGTTCTTTGCTAATTACAAATTTCTTTCTTTGTTATAAAAAATGCTGGAATCTTTGAAAGTTACTTGTAAATCATTATAATTGTGATACGAGATATAGAGAGGATTATCAAAATCAATCTTTATTTTCATTAATGAGCCTTAAAAATTGATTACTTTCCATTTGAATTTGAGTTTATCTTAATCCTAATCATCATATGTAATAATTTCTAATCTCATTGAGGTATTTCTCTCATAATAAGAAAGATTTTTTATAGTATTCATGTCTTAACTAAATTTGATCATTACTATACCTTTTTGATCAATACTTTAAATAAGAGCAGTCAATTTTATTTATTTTTAATGATTAGATTTATTAATAGATATTTCCTCTGGTTCAAAATATTCCTAATCCTCTAGTTTTTATAGATCATTTGCCTATATTTCAATATTAAGTGTATAGTCTCTAGTTTAAAAATTTAAGATAAGATCTTTCAGTGTTATTTTTATTTAGTAATTTCCTTCATCTTTTATTGTAGGGATAATAATAAAGGCTCTTTACGATTGACTAAATTTAACAAATTCTAATTCAGGAGAGATTTAAATCGATACTAAATTACCCTCATCATCCATAACTTAAGGTAAATCATAGTTAAGTTTGTTTGGATATTTTACTGATAAAGATTATAAAGTCGTAATAAAATATGGAGCTGTATTCTTAGATTTTTCAAATTTAGATTCGTTAGTTACTTTAACCGAATAATTTATTGGTATACCCACAGCTTATTGATTTATTAAACCATTCACTTAAAATTAGTAAAAGCCTGAGGGAATATACTCTTTAGCTTCATTAAATCTTATTTCATAATGTTAAGATTATCCCATATGCACATTATTGTCTCCTGTAATTACTCTGAATGTCAATAAAGGAGATGATGTCTATATAGATTATTAGCAATGCTAATCAAAAGAATAATGATTCCATTTTATATATCCTAGCGTTATAGGCTATTACCCATTAGCATAGTAGAAAAATGAATTTTAAGTTATTGTGATTAAGTATCTATTGCTTATTTAGCAATCAGGAAATGTTCCAATAGGAGTAAGAGGAAATTTAATAGGAAGTTCTGTTGTGACTATTGTTTCTTATGGAGTCTAAGTTTATGTTATAGGTTCTGCAGTTGTGATAATAAATGAAGTAGCAAATATTTTGGTTGTAGCAATTTATGTGATAGATTCGACGAATGTATTATCCAAAGTAGTAGGTGCAGGAGTATTTGCTTAAGTAATTTAAGGTTCAATTGCAGCTGTTGTGAATTTTATAGGTCTATTTGTAGTGTAAGTTGTTGCTGTCGTTGTGGTTGTAGTAGTCACTTGAGTTGTTACTGGTGGCGTTTCATTACTAGCTGTGCAGCCTTTACCTTCTTATGATTTAATTGTAAACTAGGGTATAAGTATATGTTCAATCTCATTAATGGTCACTAAAAGATTAAAAGTTGCTGTCTTATTATAATTTCTATTTAGTTTTAGAAAGCCAGATATGGCATCAATCTCAAAGGAATTAGTTATACAATCATCAGTACATTCAATTTTTAATTCGTAATCATCAGGGATGCATGTATTTCCATTTAGATCTTTAACCTATAGGTAAGAAGATAGATCAATATATTACTCAGAAGAACCTGTATCTGTACAATATTAAAACGGATTATTTTATTTTATATATGTAGGAATCACTGAAATATCAGTATTAGCAGGGCAAGTTTATAGGGCTAATCTCCTCAAAAGATTAGAGGGGAAAGCTTAATCTTAAGTTTTTATTTATTTTAAAACTTCCTTTTTAGTTGAAAACTTTACTATTATTATTTTCTCCTCATCTCTATAGTCTAAAGTCAGTAAATGCATTTCAGAGATGTCCTCAATACTGGAATTGTTGCAATCTTCTAATTTGTTATGAAAATCTTATGAATCTCAAGTAAAGGCTTCCTAAATTTATTCAAATTCTTCTTCAAAATAAATTATAATCATCAATGTTTGAATCTATAGCGGCAATGAATAGCTAGTATTTATTTCATCATTATCGGCAATAAAATCCTCCTTAATATTTTTATCTTTCCTTTTAAAATTTTCTTTTTCTTTTTCACTTTACAAAATATCCTTCTTTTTTTTAAAAAACCTATGTAATTCTAAATTTTAGATTTGTTAGATCCCTATCTTGATTTGCTAATCCTACCATTTAATTGATCATTATTAGAGGTATAGCGAATTAATCTTATATCTTAAGCAGATTTTGCATTCCTTAAACTAAAGTTATATTAAATTTTGATCTTCTTAATTTTAAGTTTGAGGACTAATCAAGCATAGATATATAGTCTTCTGAATTTTATATGAGATTATTAGAAATTTTTCGATATCGCTATTTTATTCAATTCCATCATATTTTATAGATATTATTTGCTAGTTATCATCGTCTTATTCTAGAATCAAGTAAATTTATTCAAAATATTTTGAACATATTACAGTTGAAACCATGAAAAAACTCAATAGTATTTTTATCATAT